TTTTTTTTTTTTTTTTTTTTTTTTTGTACCAGGGATTGAACTTGAGATCTTTAAAATCTTGCACTTGCGAGGCAGGCAGCAGAACCACTGAGCTAACTCCCCAGCCCGAGGACAGCATTTTGTATTTGCTAAGGCTGTTATTGCTAAGGTTGTTTAGAACCACACCCCAGACAGTCCTAGCACACTTTCACAACCTGAAAAATGTGGAAAGCAAGCATTCCTATTTTTGTTTGTTTTTTAGTCAATCTTGCATCCCCCCCCAAAAAAAACAAACAAAAACAGAAGTCAAATAGAAGAGACTGAATTTAATCTTATAAGCAATAGGAAAACACAGAAGATAAAAAAACATATTTTGAAGGAAGATTTAATAGAACTTGAAATAGTGAAATATAGGCAAAAGTAGAAAGACATTTAAGGATGTCCTGGCATTTTGTTTTAATTTCAAAACAGAAATATTTATTCAACCCTTCCCTGATTGTAAAATAAGGTTCTTTAGGGAGTGTTATTTCACTTACCGTTAAAATGCCAGCCATCCCAAGGGAGATGTTTCGGATTCCATCAAGATTATCAACCTTGTACAAAGCTTTTGTTTGCTTTTAATGTAACTGATTCAGAGTCAAGGCTTACTTTAAAAAGCTTATCTATGGTATTTCTTACCCGTACAAATAGTTTTCCTGCAAGAGGAAGCGATCTGGAAAGTGTGAGGTCTGTTTCCTGTTCCCGAAGCTATGGAGATCACAAAGGGTGGCAGTTGCTCCTGCAGCCAACGTCTTGGACAGACAAGAATGCTGACAGCCTGGGAAAAAAGATCCCGGGGCTGCTTTGCAGTCTTCTCTGGGGAACAGGAGAAGTGCCCGGAAGAGGAGGAGACTGCCTTGGGTGAGCCTTGGACCCGCCTTCAAGTGTTGGCTCTGTCCTTGGGCAACGGAACTTGAGGCAAAGTGTTATAAATGATAGCATTTCTTTTACTGTTAAAAAAATCACTATTTAATGAAACGATTTCTTCTGTCAAAGTTGGGATCTACCCCTTCCAAAACCTGTACCTCTTTCAGAAGTACATGAAGCACACACTTGAAGAAAGTGTAACGGCTTGGTCCCATAAAAGCGTCTTTTCTCACCTGAGTCTCTGTTGGAAGCTTTCTGATCATACTTCAGCACAAAATTTCTTACCTAACAGCACTGGGTAATCATGCACATTGTAGTATTTCTTACAATGTAATCCTAGCACTTAAAATACATCTAAAATATAACTCTTGCTGGCAGTGGGGGAGCACGCCTGTCATCCCAGCACCTGGAAGGCTGAGGCAGGAGGATTGTTGTGAGTTTGAGGCCAGTCTGAGCTACATAGAGAGAACCTGTCTCAAAAAACAAAAAACAAACAAAAAGCTTTTTGGTGGAAAGACTATTTTGCATAATATTTTATTCTTTTCAACTTATGATCTCATTCAGAACTTCTCCCTCCCAAACTCAACTCTGTATCAAAGGATAGCTGATAGAGGCCACTAAAATTTATTTCTCAGTAGAACAAAAGCAGTCTATTTTTAAGAAACTTTTCCTTTGTCTGTTTAGATGCAAACTACAATGCATGCCATCATTAGAATTTTTTTTTTTTTTGGTACCAGGGATTGAATCAGGACCTTGCGCTTGTGAGGCAGGCAGCAGCAGCACAGAGCTAAATCCCTGGCCCTCTTTCATTCATTCTTAACCACTTAGTTTATACAATGAATATATGATGATGATGATGATGATGATGATGATTATTTATGGTACTGCAGATAGAATTTAGGCCCTTGGGCTTGCAAGGTAGGCAGTGGAACAACTAAGCCAAATCCCTGGCCCTATAAGCATTAAAAAGAAAAAATGCCATGGTATTCTCTAAACCTGATGAAAGCATTTATACATTATATACAGTCTTTTTTCCTAGAAATACTTCAAGGACTAGGTGATAATTAACAGTTTAGATATCATAATATATGAAGTTTGGGAGATAAAATAGATCAGTAGTCACGAAATTTTTGGATTTAACAAACCATTTAAAAAAAGCAATAGCCAGGTGTAGTGGTGCATGCCTGTAATCCTATCACTTGGGAGGCTGCTACAGGAGGAACTCTGCATTTGAGGACAACCTGGGCTGTATATTAAATTCAAGTCCAGCCTTCACTACAAAGCAAGACCCTGTCTCAAAACAAAACAAAACAAAAAAATGAATCAACCAACCAAACAAAAAAACAGCAGTAATGATAATGAAGAGAGAAACATCAAATGGACAACTTTACTTTTTACCAAATATATAGACAAATTTAAAACTCTTTACATTTTCACTGTATAAAAGGACATTCTGTACAAAAATAGGAAGTAGTTAATGATGGATAGTCCTTTTAAGTGAATACATGTGATTTTAGGAACATGTATTACTTTTTATTTATTTTATTATAGATAATAAAAGTTTTTATTATCATTTTTCAGTGACTGGGATTCTTTGAGGACTGTCAATAACTTCCACCAAATTATCTAGTCTGGGGCTGGTGGTTTAGTTCAATGGCACCACACCTGCCTCACAAGTGCAAAGTCCTGATTTTGATAAAATAAATTTAGTCTGGTATTTAGTAAGTGGCTTGTATTTCACAATATGAATGAATCAAACTGAGTGCCTGTGTTTTAAAAACAACTGGCTTTTTCACAAACAGCAAGTTAATCTATTACAACTAACATTTCAATAAAAAGTAAAAGAAAAAATGCATATGTATTAAATGTAATTCTTTAAAGTGTAATATTCTGTACCTGGAGTTCAGTAGGGCATGTTATTGACTGATCTTATGCTTTTGGTCCACACCAACAACTGAGGCTTAAATTTAGAAATCTACCTGTGAAAGTGCATGTCAAAGTTTTAATGTTAAAGCACTCAAACATGTCACAAGTATGAGCCATCCGGTATTCCAAAATACCCTTTTAAAAGCTGCTGCCAATCAGATCGATTAAACTTACTAAAATATACAGAAAGAAATTTTCTTAAAAGGTGTGATTCTGGCAGGTTCTTGCCTGTAATACCAGTCCTAAGATGGCTGAGGCAGGAGGATTGCTGAAAATTCGAGGCCAGCCTCAGCTAGTGAGTTTGAGGCCAGCCCGAATTGCATAGTGAGACCCTGTCTCAATGAAGAAAGAAAGAAAGAAAGAAACAAACAAATAACATTTTAGAAGTGTGATTTTTCTGAACCTCACTTTGCTGCGCCAAGAAAAAGCTGCAGTAATGCAAGGCATGGCTCCAGAAGCCTTACTTGCCGGCCAGAGGAACTCAGATTTAGGCCCTTTCTGACAGCACACGATCTGGAATAATTTCTAGGTAGGTGTAGTGATGTGCACTTTTTTAATTTGTGTTTTTTTGAGAAAGGGTCTCGCTGCGTAGTTCAGGCTGTCCTCGAACTGTGCAGCCAGGCTGGCCTCGAATCTGAGGCGATCCTCCTGCCTGAGTCTCCTAAGTGTTGGGGTTACAGGCGTGCACCACCACTCCGGGCTATGATGTCCACTCTTTTGCTGACACTCTCGAACCTCTGGGACACACCCTGAATTTAATTTGGCCACACTTCTTTCTTGAAATGTGTTTCAGATTCTCCTCTTGTTTCCACACACGGAGGAAACGAGAGCTCTGTTTGGAGAAGATTCCAAGTTTGGGTGATGTAAACAGAGAGGAGACACCTTTCGGCGGCTGCACCGGAAGCCACCCAATCTGTGGGGCAGCGTGGCCCCGTCACGTAACTTGCGCACTGGCTGCCGGGAGCCTCGCGCGTCCTGCCGCTCCCTCACAAGCGGAGCCCGCGAACTTGGGCGCCCGGATCTACACCCGCGCTTTTGTTGAGGAAGAAAGTCAGCAAACTCCTGAGTAGAGTGATTTTGGGCGGGGCTGGAGGGATGAGCGCGAATGAGAGTGTGAACGAATGTGAAATAAGGCAGCTAGAATGGGAGCGTCCTTTTAGAATCTGAGAGGCTGAGGCGAAGGAGGGAAAAGAGGCGAGGGCATGTGAGGGGAGAAAAAAGCAGTGAAATGGCGTGAGGAGCCAGAGTAGTGTTGAGTTGGATAGAAGGATACAGTTGCACAAGGCAGAGGGTAGTTGTTGGTAATAATAATACCTAAGACTAGTCACTAATACCTAAGACTGAATAACCTGGGTCGATGGATGTACTTAGTACTTGTCACGGGATGAGGACCAGCCCGTCGCCACACCTGGTTTAGGCTTGAGGCTTTAAGTTATGACGGAAAGCGAATTTATTTTTACTGAGGCAGAATTACCGAACTATAAAAGTTTTTATTTGGCATATGCATGTATTCTGTTTCTTTGATAAAGGAGAGAGGGAAAATTTAAAGGGACAGAAAAGGGAAAGGAAGCGAATACTGTACGTGCACATTGCCTTCTTTGAAACGTTTTTTAACACCCAAGGCAAAATCAGCACAGCTGTGCATGTGTAGAGTTTCTCCGTATAACTACTATAGTGCTTAACTGTATATACAAAGTACGGCAAGGATATGGAAATATGAGGTGCAATTGAAAAATCGTGTTTTATTAATAAAACGTATCACACAGTAAAAGCACATTACCTTTAATCTGGTCCAAATAGTTCCCCTTTGCTGGGAGCAGACTTATCTAACTAACCATACTTGCCCCTTTCAGAAGCAGTTCTAGAAAGTCCTCTTTCATATCTTTAGTTGTGCTGTCCTGGCTACCTTCATGTGTGAAGCCATTCAATGCATTTACCTTTTGTGGTCATATTGAGGAATAGCCAGGTAGATGAGGATGCACCATAATGTTTTTACAAGCCTGCCTTTCTGTGGGATGGCATTCAGCGGCAGCATTCACTTTTTTTTTTTTTTTTTTTTTTTTTTTTTTTTT